CAGACTGCTGATGCTGATTCTGTTGGAAGGAATGAGGGAAAATGTGGTCAAAGTTTTGCGTGGGCTCGAACCCGCCTTCCAAATTCGGCACTCCGAAATTCAGCCCCAGGTTTGACTGTTGGGTTGGCAAAGTGCCCTGGATGTTTTGGAAATTTGAAGGCACTTGAGGAGGACTCTGTATTATTTGTCTTTGTGCCAGGATCCTGGCTTCCATCTCTTCACCAACTGGACCCCTGGGAACAAGGATGTGTTGCTGAGGGGCCTGATTCCTGAAAGTTGGTGCAAGAAGCCTCTCAAGGTATTCCTCATCTTGAATGAAGGGTCCCTTCTTATTCTGGCTCCTGATGATGGGGGTTTCTTCAGACCTGTGTTCACCAGGCAGGTCGATTCTTTTTTCTGCACCAGTTGGTCCAGGGTTGGCTCTTTGCTGAGGAAACACTCCTTGTGCCCCTATATATAAAAAAGTACAGTTGTACAGCTCATAGTAAAAACGAAATTGGTACAAGCATAGATTATGTTCTTTTTACGAATTTTTCCTTATAAAAACCGCATTCCTATTGATTGAAAAACAAATTTTCTCATTTTGCTAAAGAACAGATGTGTTCATTAGAAAAACTTTGTTCATATAATACAAGGCTATAAAATTGCTCTGAAAATCTTCATTCTACAAAATGTTCTGTTCATTCATTCATTCACAAAGTGTTCTTCATGCAAAGGTTTTGTACCATGAGGTATGACTGTGCAACACAAAGCTGAGACTAAATTCTTTATAAAGCCTTTTGAAGATTTGTAAGCAATACCCAGTTTGTCCTCTAAAACTATAGTCTTGACTTGAAGAACAATGAAACCTCAATTTGAAAAAAAAAATGTACACATGAATGTTTTATTCAAAGATGATGGTAATTCTAAAAATGTCACTATTGTATGACATTGTACAATATTCCCAAATGAGAAACCAAATTGAGGTTACAAATATATATTCCATATGTATGTGCTTCTAGTCTTGCTGATGCCAATAATATTCAGCTGGAAATAGTTGTTAACTATTGCTTTCTTTTTGCTCTTGCCTGTTCTTGCAAGTTTCCTGTTCATTTTTTACTTTACTGTACTTTGAAATAATTTTATGCTGGAATCAATTAACTGAAATCCCATGTCAATAACTTTTGAATGATTTCCCTTATTAGTATCCTCCAGGAAATGGTTTCCCATGGGTTGAAATGAGAAATTTTGTCATTCAAAATGTAAAGAGAAAAAACTGGCTTCTAAACTCAAGGGTTGCCCCACAGGGCCATGCTATTGTATATTTGAATTGTGCCCAACTTCTTGTCACATTTGGTTACACCAAGTCATGAATAGTCTTTTAGTGTACAGTAATTGGTTGAATCTTTATCCAAAGATCCATATTGGTGCATCACCTACCCCATGCTCCTTCCATTTTAAAGATGAAATCAAGGTAACAATTCCTTTAAAAAAACTGTCAAAATTTTCATATCCATGGGACATGCATATTCCCTACTCTGTTCAAAGAATAGATGTGCCTGTAAGGTGAAGAATGTACAGTCAACCCCCCACCTAACAGACCTCCCACCTATAAGGGATGTTTGCCTATATAATGGTCTGCTTCCTGTGGAGGCAGTTTTTCCTCCCACATACAACAGACAAAATCCACCAAATGGACTTATATTGGTTTAAAATTAATAATAAAAAGTAAAAATGTTAACAGTTGAGCCGATGAATTTGCATAACAGACTTTTTACACAACAGAATAGTCTGTTGCACAAATTAAGTCTACTGTGCAGGGGTTGACTGTATGTGGTCCCAAACTAAATTTTGTATTCACCTGTGGCATGATTGACTGGATAAACATGAATAAGCACTTTGTCTTTATCAAGACCCGGTGGAAGGTGGAATCTGATTTTTTGAGAACTTTGACCATTGGCATTCACGGGAATTGGGACATGGAAATGCTGGAAATCATGTTGACTGAGGGGCCCTGATGCTCTTCCATCAGTTCCAGAGGCTCTTTTCTGAGCAATCCTGTGAGGGTGGCTGGGTGGACTGGAAAGATTGTCAAAAGAAAATAGTAAGTTAGTAAATTGATTGCTGCTTGTCTTTGCAAAGATTACCTGTACCCATAATTGGCCCCAGAATGATGACCAGCAGCATTTTGATGATTATGAAAGTTGCCATTCTGAATTGAATTGTCTGGTTCAACATTGCCTTTGTTTAGTGGTTGTCCACCCCAGCTTTGTTCATACCCTCCAGCCTGGTCTTGGATGTGAGAGAATGCATTCCATTGTACATTTCCTTGATTTTGACTGTTGGATTTGGTCTCAGAGAAACTGGATTCTTTGACAAAGTTTCCAGAATTGGGTTGTTGTGGGATCCCAATAATGTGCTGTTGGGTATGGTATTCATAGCCTGGAGGTGGTGGTTGAGGGTAGTAATATGGAGGATACCAGGGTATGGTTGGTATTTCAATGTCCACAGGGTAGTGCTCTTTTGGAACATCAATTGGCTTTGTTTGTTCTATGGCTACAAAACAACAACAATTAAAATCATCAGATGAGTAAGTTCATAGCTGCACGTACTTCCCTGCTGCAAAGAACTGAAAATAAATTGACTTCATTTGCTGTAGTATCATGGTGCACACATGTTTCTCAAACTTGAAAGTAAGAAATTAAGAAAGAAACTTGAAAGGAAGAAAAATGTTTTTGGAAACAATTACAAAATAATTCATTTATGCTCAATTTATGTCAAAATTTAGTCTGGCTTGTCTTTTTCTTGAAATATTGCAATTTTTCTGTCACTTAAGATGGGGTGCATATCTTACTTGATAATGAGATTTCATCAAAATTTCAGACAAAAAAGCCAGGTGCCTGAATTTGCTTGCAGGCGCGTGGTACTCAAGTAAAAAAAAATAGTAAAAATTGCAACCAACAAAGCTATACTCTTTTGTGTGAGCCACCAGAGCAGGAAATAATTTGACTCTCATTCATGTTTTAAAGTGTTAAAAAAAATTTCAAGAGTTCATAATTGTATAGGTCCTTTTGTAATACAGTAATATAAGAACAGGCTCTGTACTTTGTTTTATTGATATAAAAATTTGAGTTTCTTACATTTGAAATCTTAAATTGAAGTCCTGGATGGTTTTATAATTTATAATTTTTGCAAGGAATATCTTTTGTTGTGTTCACTATCACACTATAATAGAGGTCATCTGCCCTTCTGTTCATATCCCAGTGAGCCAGATGCAGTATTGTCTCTTTTTGGCCCAAAACTCATCCAAACCAACTTATCTGAGAATCTTGACAGAAATGGACATGTTTTGGACAATTTTTTTTATTGAGTTTCGTCCAAATTTGTCAACCAGAGCAAACATTTTTGGACAAGTTCTCTAAAGATGTCAGAGGAAGTCCTGTGCAGGATATCCATGGACATCTTTTGGATAATATGAGGACATGTCCATTCATTTGGATGAGTTCTGGACATGTTGTGGATAACTTTGTGTTCACTGGGATGCAGGACTTGATGTCAACACTATTTCCTTATAATCATTGCATTATACTGAACTTGAGTGCAGAAAAATCTTCAGAGAATGATGATAATGCTTCACATTTTAAACTAATACATAAAACACAACACTATTCCTGGTGGCCAATTGGAGAAAGGATTGTCCAACCTGATTTGAATTGACTGATCCTAACATACTGCACTTCTACACTTTTTTTAAACAGTTTTCAAATCATTCTCAAATTTGGGTTGCTTTCTTGCATCAATTACAACATATTTTTAAGCTGTTAGAAATATTTAAAATTTAATTAGAGGTTTTTCAGCTTACTTAGGGAGTCATTTGGAGCCCGCTGAGTGAGTGAAGGATGGAAGGACATCATGAGATTGGTCCATTCCTCAGAAGGATGCAGAGTGACTTTGGCTCTCAGAGGGACACTTTTCTTATCTGGAATCAAGTACTGTTTCTCTGGAGGAGGATCTCCTTTGCCTTCGAAAAGCCTCGAAAACCAGGTCAACAATCCCTTTGATTTCCTTGCAAATTTGCGGCCATCTGCGAAATATAATTCCTCATGAGCAAATCAAAGCATTTGAAAAAAAATGGTTGAAAAAATGCTATTAAATGCAAATTTTTCGCGCTCAGAAACCAATTGATTCGAGACAATGTTTGACGCTTACTTTTCACTTGATACTTGGATCCGAGGTCGATTTCTATGACGTTTTCCTCATCGTTTGCCCAGGGCAGCATTGTTTTGTTCGAAACAGATTCTTCGTCTTGAAACACAGTTCCGTTGTTTATGTAAACTACAAAACTGTCACTGCTCGAAACATTCAAAGTAGTGATGTTTATTGATGTTGATGCATTTCCGGTTGATGTATTCGCCCTCGGTTGTTCGTCTTTCAAGGATTGCACAAGCAACACTTGTAAAATCACCTGGAAAAAGACCCAACTCTTGAGTTCAATCTGAAAACTCTTCGATAATTTTGAATTTTTTTTTTAACTTACGAAAATCGCAAGACAGGCAACTTTTTTCAGCGAAAACATTTCGAGGACCGCAAGAGTTTTCGACGAACTGACTGACTTGACTGCCAAAAATTTGGGGGTCGCACGAGTTTCAGGTTACAGCTCTTCGAAAAAAGTTATTTGTCAAATCATTGTCAAATCTGGGTCGATTCCATGCGCATGTAAAATACAAAATATTTCCCCGGAATAAAAAAAAAGTGAAGAAAGTCGTGAGAAATTCTTCAAAACTCGGTGGACGGAAACTAAAGTCATCCTGGCCGCATTTGAACGTAGAAAGGCAGTGACACCATTTCTGATGCCAGTTCAGCAAAAATATGTGCTCCAGATTCCTTTTTCTCGTTCAGCAAGTTTCAATGCCAGTGCAAAAAAAAAAAAAAAATTAGCAAGAAACAAGAAGAGAATCAAAAAACCTGCGATGTGCCTCATGTCCTGCGGAAAATGTATGAAAGTCTTTCAGCCAGGGAAACTTTCAAAAGACCTGAAAAGTTTGTTAACTGATTTCCTTCAATCTGACCCCGGCTTTTTTTCTAGTTAATCTGTCAAAGAAAATTCTCAACAAGGTTTAATAACGGTGTCGTCTTCTCCTTATTTCTGGAAATTCGAACCTGTTCTTTTAATCCGAATGTCCGTGTTCTAAATTTTTTTTTTGGCGAAGATGTTCCTCGTTTCGAGGCTGTCTCGAGGCAGAAATGGTCTCCTGATTTCAATCGTCCTTTTGGCATTTTTATTGGGTTTTCTGTCCAGTAATTGCGTGGATGCAGCGAGGTCGAAAAAATCCAGTGGAGTAAGTATTTTGAACATGACATTAATATCAATATGTGATGATCCTTGAGGTTGATATTTGCATAATTTTCTTATTAAATCGCTGTCGTCTCCCTATTTTACATTTTAAGTTTTATTAAAAAACCCTCTTAGAGGAACGCCCCCTTCTTAAAATCCTCAATACAGTACTTTTCTCTTTTCTGCTCTTGCAAACTCATAATACTCTCTCAAAAGTTTGAATTCCCCAGCTCAGGAATTTTTAATTTGAAATTTTCCAGCTTGGGAAATTTCATTTCGGAATTCTCTGGGGGTGTATTTGCCTCGTGGGTCTAATGCTACACAGCTTCAATAGCACCCACCTTAATCCGCCACTGGGGCTAAAATACTGTACAATTTGTATATGGAGCTTCACCGTCTACGCTACGTTTTTCTATCGAATTTTTCAAGCCGGAATGTAATCTTCAAAATTGTGTACTCAATTTTAGATTTCGCTGTTCGGTGGCTCGTCTTCGCGGCTGTACTCTCCTTTTGACGATAGCAATGATGACGACGACGACGAGGATTACAACTCCATGGATCAGGTGAAGCTTTCCTTTGCAGTAGTTTATATTCTGCAATTGTTTAAAGATAGCCTTTTATCGACAAAATTTATTATACTTTTTTTTTTTCGAACTTTTTATCCTGAAAAATGATGCTCTCCTTCCAACGCCGAATATATATTTTAGACTATTACTTACGATCTTGAATTAACCGTGCGGTCCATGCGAGTTCGCGTTTAAAATGTGTGCAAGATTTCGGTTATAGGTAATTTATTTGAATTTCAAAATATTCCACATAGTAATGAAGTCGATTCAAAAAATGCAAACATATGATATGCTTTTCTGGCGAAATGTTCTAACACTAATATTATTCCCGTTTTCGAAAGTGTCTACAAAACGTACGTATTCACGTCATTTCTTCCGTATAATTCGTTTATATCTTGATAAAAACTTTTTAATGGGGAGTATTTACATTCGAAAGAACTTATTTTCGAATTGAAAGGTTATTTCTTCATACCCAAGTCCAATAAAGACAATTATCTGACTAGGCGAAATTTTTCTTAGGAAAATGATTTCAGAATTTCGAGCTTTCTGAAAGTGCTGTTTACTCGAATATTGTCTGGTCAAACCTCAATATAGTCGCACAAATTGTCATGTGACATTTTTTTTTTTTTTTTGGCACTGAGCAAGGGTGGCCCTAAATCAAGGGTATTGTGTGAGAGGTAGGTTCAGTTGAGGGCTTCCATTGTAGGAATAATAAGCTTGTTTATACAGCATTTTTAGGCCAGTTAATTTTTTTCATAGAGAAAGCCACAAGAAATAATGTCATGCTGAAATTTGCTGTTTTTATACTGTGCTCAAAGATATTTGTGCAGACGATATAATTTTATATACAGTAGTTGAACATTGTCTAGTAAAAGATCAGAGCTGTTCCTCAAGATTGTGTTCATTTGAGTTTTATATCATGTGGCATTATGAATGAATCATGGATGTTTTCCCAGAAATTCCGAATTTTTCTCAATTTTAACTGGTGGAGGAAGTTGTCATGCAACAACATAATAATTTGCTACGCTGTAAGCATGGGAATGTGATTCTCAGTTATAACCCAATCCTTGGAAAAATGCCTCAATTTTTTGCCTCATTTTTTTAGACGCTATCAAAATTTGTGTGGCAATAAAAGCGTTGGCATTAAATCGGAATTTCCCTTTTAAAACTTAGAGGGAGATTTATACCAGCAAATTATGTGGCACTGTGCAATGGTGGCACTGAATTGAGGATAGACTGTAATCACTGGATTGGTACCCCTTGTATTGCTAGTAACACCCGTAAATCCGTAATTCATTAATTTTTTATTTGATGCTCAGTGAATAATGAGGGAATAAGTATTAGCATGTGGAATCGACAATAATTTTATTCATTCGCTTGCTGTGAGCTAATTGATGTTTGTCGCGAACAGGCGGAGGAGCAGTGTGACGGGGACTCGTGCGGCAGCGACAGTGACCCGAGACCGGGCATGCGAGGTCGACGGGTGACGAGGAAGGCCGCCGCGACGCGACGATCGGCGAGGCGATTTGTCGCGAACAGGCGGAGGAGCAGTGTGACGGGGACTCGTGCGGCAGCGACAGTGACCCGAGACCGGGCATGCGAGGTCGACGGGTGACGAGGAAGGCCGCCGCGACGGCTGCTAGCCGCTCCGCGGCGCGGCGGGTTGCGTACTAATACCGACTGCTCCACGCGTACGTACGAACACCCCCAAAGGGCATAACTCAGGAACTGGTGCTATGATTAACAAACAGCAGAAAGAGTACTGTATATGATCCCACACTGGGTTTGAATCAGGAAATCTACGTTCCATAGTTTCGTTGAGAATCAAGTAGATGTCGCTTGCATTTTCTTGCAGTTTTCAGGCCGTATGTATACAGTACTGCACAGTATTGTACATACTTGTACAGTCGACCCTCGTTAAACCGCCAACGTTTGTCATACAAAATTTTGGCGGTTTAACGGGGTTGGCGGTTTATCGAGGGAGGGGGTGTCCCTATTAAAAAAAAAAAAACAGTTCAAACACCCACCCTTCTCCGCCTGCCAGTCCATTCTTTCTTTCTTGGGAGCTCTTCCATTCTACATATATTAAAACACAGAGAACAAAAAATTTTAATGCTGAGTTTAAAGATAAATTTGTTCAAAGTTAGTTAGTTAGGATGGGTTA